GGCGGGGGGCGGGGCGCGCCGGCCGAGAGACGCGCCGCTGGGCTCGCACATCGGGCCGCGTCGCGGGTGGATTTGGGCCGCGGGGTGCCGTGGTATAAAACGCGAGCAATGGTGTCGCTATGAGCCAGAACAGCACGACCTCCTCCGCCGACAACACTTTTTTCACGACAGACATACAACAGGTGAGTCCGGTGACGCCGTGTCGCGTCGTGTCGTATCGCGTCAGTGTAAACCGTGTAAACGTGGAAATAAGTGATCGAATCTAAATTTTCTAATGAGTCTGCCGTACGCAAGACTCGCAGTTTTTATCGGAATTTATTAGTGAAGTGTTTTCTTTCACCAATTTTCCGATTTGTATTTTCGTATTATGTTTTCGCTGATCGTCCGGATTTTGCAATCAGCCCTCTGCTTCACTTGCAACTTTAGCGTGAACCTGTCGCGTTTCGTGCGTCCGTCTGTGACGAAGAAGTACGGCTCCGTCCCACCACCCCCGGACCACTCGTCGTATGTGTCTCTGACCGCCCTCTTGTTCTTGTTGTGCTCCCGCAGGTGCGAGGATGTCGATCCGAGGAGCGCTCCTTCTGGCGCTCGGCCTGGCCGTGATTGTGGCTCACGCCTCCGCCCACAGCTGCAACTGCGCGCGGTGCGCCGGTGTGGCTGGCAACGCCCCCATCACCCCCGCCTACTCGGCCGACTCCTCCGAGCAGCAGACCTCCACCGCCGTCAGCACCCGCTCCTCGGCCGCCGTCCAGTGGATCGGAGGCTCCTTCGTCTGGCCCTGCGTCTCCACCAAGAACATCTACAAGCAGTCCAAGCGCTACGTGCCCAAGAGCGTGATCGCCACCCGCATGCAGATCTACGGCACCGAGGCGTTCGTCGCCCTGCCCCGCTTCAAGGCCGGTGTGCCCGCCACCCTGGTGAAGGTCGACCTGAAGCACCGCGGCTGCCAGGCCGAGCTCACCCCCTTCCCCTGCTGGTCCGTCCAGGAGGAGGGTAACTGCGAGGCTCTCCAGTCCGTCGTCGACATCTTCCTTGACGCCAACAACATCCTGTGGGCTCTGGACGCCGGTATCGTCAACACCCTGGAGCAGCCCGTGCGCCGTTGCTCCCCCAAGGTCATGGCCTTCGACGTCAAGACCGGCAAGCTGATCAAGAAGGTCGACCTGTCCTCCCTGACCTGCCCCGCCAGCCGTCTGCAGTACCTGGTTGTCGACTACGCCAAGGACGGCCGCATCTTCCTGTACATCTCCGACGCCGCCACCCGCTCCATCATCGTCTACGACGTGACCTCCGGCAAGGGCTACCGTCTCGTCCTCCCCAAGGCCGTCACCCTCGGCTGCGGCAAGACCGACGTCCTGTACCTCGCCCTGGCCCGCTCCGAGTGCGGCAACAACGTGCTGTTCTTCACCTACCTGTCCAGCCAGAGGCTGTTCTCCATCAAGACCGCCTACCTGCAGTCCGGCAGCACCGCCGGCCGCGTCCACGACCACGGACCCAAGAACGGCAAGATCGTCATCCTGGGAACCGATGGCGGCCAGTTCCTGTTCTTCCGTTTCGAGGGCTCGAGCGAGATCCTGCGCTGGAACACCAACACCTGCTTCAAGAGCGACAACTTCGAGGTCGTGTACAACAGCCCCGACTGCCTGCTCGCCACCCAGGTCGCCCCCGACTACAAGATCCAGCGCATCCGCATCCTGGAGAGCAACTTCCCCGACTTCATCCTCGGCCAGGTCGGCTGCGGTGCCTACCAGGTCATCAACGTGATCGACAACCAGTGCCAGTGAGCTTCTCACTGAGGGTCCACGACCTGCCCAAGACTGAGCTCGCCCCTGCTGGCGGGCCGGACCTCGGTCCGTTGTTAAGTTTGTTGTTGTGTCTGTTGTGTGTGTGTGAATGTGTGTGTGTGAGTGTGTGAATGTGTCTCCACTGCTGCGCGCGCCGTGCGGCAGTGCCGTTACATGAGCTATGTAAGTGTGAATGCGACAAATAATTAAGTCAAATACATCAGCTCGACCTACCTAATTAACCGCCGTGTTTTCACTGCATTTAAGCATCCCTCAGTATCTCACCCGCTTCAGCAAACAAATAGTAAAAGAAAAAAAAAACTTAAAA